ATTTTTTCATAAATATATCAATCTGACAATTAAATATTTCATTTAATAACAATAACTAATCAAATAAAAATTTAAATTTCTTACCTTACATAAATACTTCATTTAATAATAATAATAACAGCTATAAAAAAAGATCTAAAATCATCGGTTTACGTTTATTTTACGTACGCACACGTGAAAGGATTACGTCTTTATTTACCGAGATACGTCATCATCAAATTAGCAATATTTGATTAATAATTAGCCTTCCTGACATGAAATTTAATCTAATCATTTATCACTGCAAATATTTTATCTTTTTTATTTCATTCTCATCTTTAGAGAAGAAATCGAAAATAAGGGAGAGAAAGAGAAGAGAGATAAAAATGAAAGAAATTAATTTCAACATTTTGTTGTTTACTACTAGCTTTCTTTCCTTTTCTTTTAGCCTTTCTTTCTATAAACATTATCACATACATTTTCCTTTTTGTAAACAACAACAACAACAATAAACAAACAAACAACAATGACAATAAACGAAACTAGAACTGGAATTTAATGAATGAGAGAGGAACGTGAACATGAATGTGATGGTCTGAGGGGAGAGAGAGGGACTCCAAATGATCTGAGGGGAGAGAGAGGGACTTGATGATCTGAGGGGAGAGAGAGGGACTCTATATGATCTGGGGAGAGAGAGGAACGTAAACATGAGTGTGACAAGAAAGGGAAAAAAAGAAAAAAAGAGAATTTATGTTTCATAATATTTCAACCTTTGTCCTTTATACAAATTTTTTTCTTCAAATTGTAAAATAAACATAAAATTGTCATAAATAAACACATATTATAAAAATAAGGAAAGAGAAAAAGAGAGAGGGAGGGAGAAGTAATAGAAAAAAAAAGGGTAAAAAGAAAGTGAAATAAGTGAAAAGATAAATGTAAAGTTAAAAAGTTAGATAAAGTAAATAAATGGGTAAAGGAAAATAAAAAAAAAAAGAAACAGAAAAGAAAGAAATATAGTTGAGTAGGAATAGTGATGGTATATTGGGTATATCATTAGTTCAGGAAAAGAAAAGAAAACAAAAAAAAAAAAACAACGAAAAATTGTACAACAATAAAATTTTTGTTTTCTTTTAACTCTCATCTTCTCCTCTCTATTATCAATCATATATCAGTGCTAATCACTTAGATAAGGGTAAAAGAAGAGAGAGAGAAAGGAAGTGAGAGAGAGAGAGAGAGAGAGAAAGAAGAAATAAAAAAAAGTACGATGATTTGATTTAGCTAAAATTTTAACAAATATCTAAGAAGCAAAAAAAAAAAAAAAAATTTTTTTGAGAAATCTTAGATAAAATAGCATATAGCATAAAAGCTATGAAAACGATAGGAAAATTTGATAAGAAACTGATAAATTGATCATTAATTGATTGATTGATCAGACGATCAAATAATTTATTTCATTCAGATTAAGTATATATTTGATGAATTTAATTCATTCTAAACAAATCAACAAATTACTATTAAATATTTCAACATTTTAAAATGTTTATTAATGCCTATCCATTCAAATGAATTTGCTACAAAATGAAATTAAAATTCAGTTTTATTTTTTGGAAATACAAAAACTTTTTAAGATCAAATTTAAATTGATCCACTGAAATGATCTGAAATTTTCACTACTATTACTATTACTATAATTACCAACGATATTATTATTATTGTCCTTACTTATCACTGTGATTATTGTTACTGTTGTTTTATTGTTATTTATTTATTTATTTATTTATTATTATTATTATCAAATATTATTATTATCATTATTAACTTACTGTATCTTCCGCTTAATAGTGCATTTCTATATGATGAAAGCGTCATTCACGTAAAATCATCTGTAAAAAATAAATTCCAATTTTTTCAATAATTTTATAAATAAACTATCTATTAATCTCAAATAATAATCTATCGAACACCAAATTAGTTCAACATTTCCACGCCAAAATCATAAAAAATTGAATGCTATACCTATCACACGTAAAACGAATAAAACATCCAAACGTAAAAATCATTTATTTGACGTAAATTATACGGTAATTTTGTAATTTCTCTGTCAAAACATTCCAAATTAATTATTATTCATCCATTTTTGCCCTTTTTTTTTCTGTTTTTTCTCTATAAAAGCAAATCTTTAATTTAAAATATAAAATTTGGAAGTTTATAAAACAAATTAACTATGAAACAAAAAAAAAAAAAAGTTAGTAACAAAATATAAATAAAATTTTAACAAAGGGTATAAAAGATAAAATATGAAAATGGAAATTTTTAATGAACAATGCACTTAATTTTATCGATTCAACTAACTGATAAATGATTCATTCGATCAATCAGTCGATCAATCAGTCAATCAATCAATCAATTACTATACTAAATCTCATCATATAAATTACATATCTAATTAATCAGTTCATTAATTGTATTTTAACCGAATATTCAGAAATTGCTTTATCTATTATCACAAATATGTCTAAACATTTAAAAAACTAGGTAATCCAAAATTATATATATTAAAAATCTAATACCAAAAAATAAACTTACCTAAAACAAAAATTACTTTATACAGGAACAGAAATTATCTTTACTAATATCAGAAATTATTTTGTCTAATGTAAGAAATTACCTTAGCTAATAATATAAAAAATTATTATGTCTAATAGTACAAATTACTTTATCGTAATAATTTTATCTTATCCAATTAGTACCAAATTATATTATTTCATATTTAACACATAAATATTCGAATTAAATTAATTAAACAATTTATTTCTTATTCAAATTAATGAATGGAATTAATTACTTTCAATAAATCATTGTCATTTAATAATTATATTAAAATTAAATATTAAAAATAATTTATAAAAAAAAAAAAGAAATGAACGAGGAAATAAAGAAAGAATAATAATGAAGGAAAAAATAAGAAATTACTCATCCTTTCCTCTCTCTCTTCCCTTTCTCTCTCCCTCTCTCTCTCTCTCTCTCTCTCTCTCTCTTGATGTCATCTAAACAAAAGACGAAGCGCTACGGGACAACAGCGCTTAATACAGACAATGCTTAAATGCTAAAAAACGATTGCACGTGAGAAAATGCGAAATGAATAAAAGGAAAAAGCTACATTTTCTCGTCTCTCTTCTTTCCCTCTTTCTCTCTCTCTCTCTCTCTCTCTTTGTTCCCTTTGTAAAATTTTTTATTCACAAAATTGTTTACGCACACACGTACAAGTACACGTAAGCATACGTACGTGATTTCTATTACAATAAATTTAAAATATTAAGTGTATATTTCATATATAATATTAAATTTTACGTACAAATATATTAAATTTAATATACAATAAAAAAAAATTTAATCTTAAAGAAAAAATTATGTATAAATAGTGATTAAAAAGGAAAAAAAAAGAAGGAAAAATAATCTTTTGATATAATTTGTTATGAATTTTTATTTTCAATTTAATTAGAATGAAAATTTTATCAATTATTTTTAAATTTTTACAATAATATATCATTCGATAAAAAAATAAATGCATATTAAATTTAAAATATTATTATTGCACAATAAAAAAATTTAACTTTAAATTTAATTTTTTATGTAAATACATGTAAGCTTAATATATTTACATAAAAATATCTTTTTATTTTTATTAATATGCAATATCAATTAAATTGGTATTACTGTAGTATTATGGAATTATTTACACGTTTTACGTATAAATTTTACTTTTTTTTTGTTTGTTACGTTAAATACGTTAACGTTGTTTTTAAATTTTTTTTTGTTTTTTTTTAAATTTGATTGAGATGAAACAACAAATGACTGAAACAAATTGTCAATGATTCCGAATTCTAATTGACTTAGAATCTAAGTAATTTTGAATTCGAACTGATTTGGAGCTTAAGCCATTCTGAATTCTGATCTCATCTCATTTGGATACAACTGATTCTGAATTTCAATGTTCATGGAATTCAAATCATCATGAATTTGTACTGAACTGAATCCTATTGACTAGAAATTCAAGTAATTGTGAATCTAACTCATCTGATATTCAAATCATTCTGATCCTTAATTCTACTGATTTGGAAACGAAGTGATCTGGAATCCTGGAATCTGGTTTGGAACTTGATCCTGAATTCTGAACTCGTGGAAATGGAATTTAAATGATTTTGGATTTTGATGAAATAATTATGTTTCAATGAAATATTCGTTTCATTGGAATTACTACATTCTCTCTTTCTCTCTTTCTCTCTCTCTCTCTCTCTCTCATACACACACTTATAATAATTCTAATAAACGTTTAAAGTTTGTTTTTGTTTTGTTTTGCTTTGTTTTTTTCATTAGCATTCAATTGAAATTGAGCGCATTTAATGATACCATTTAATTAATTACTTTTTATTACTTTAATATGAGCTATTCCTCAATTCATAATTGAATCATATCAAATGATAACACAGACTATTATAAATTCTTACCTTCAAATTGACGATTTCAGGTAGAAATGACCCAAAAGAATGAGTGAAAACGTAAACTGTTCTGTGATTGATATTCGTTCGAATAAATGAAAATGCAAAAGTGAGAATTATGCTAGGATTGGACTGTTGATTAACTGACTAGTAAATACTTCAATTTAACAAATATTGCAGAAACCATAAAGCCAATGAATTGAATCACAACTCATTGTAAATTCACTCTTCTAAAATGATCATATGAGGAAAAGGGAGAGAGAGAGAGAGAGAGAGAGAGGGAGGGAGGGAGAAAGAAAGAAAGAAAAGGGATTTTTGAGATGGAATGAAGAAATTGTTGATTGATCGATTCATGATGATCGTAATATTCTCCGCCCTAATCAGAAATCTAAATCAACGATAGATGAATGGATGAATGGATGGATGGTTGGATGGATGGATGGATGCTTCTTTTATGGTTATTAAATCAGAAACAATCACTGAAAATACTTTTATAAAATGTTAAAATGAATTAGCGAGAAGAATGATATTGAAATGGAGGAAAAGACAAAGAGAGAAGGAGATAATAAGAGAAAGAAAGATAAGTTAATATAAAAGATTAAATTATTAAATGAAATATGTACAAAGTATAGATGCAATCTCTCTTTCTCATCCTCTCTTCCCCTCTCTCTCTCTCTCTTTCTCTCTCTCTCTCAATATCATCATTCATTCTTAAGTATTATGTTATTCATTTGATATTCATTCAAAAATATTAGGTTATTCCTAAGAGATTTTAGCATTTCTGGGTGGAGTAAAAGTGTGTTACGGTAGGTAGTAAATAATAGCAAATAACAAATAATATCATGTTTATATTCAAATATTGTTGTTGCGGTAAATGATGATGATGATGATGATGATGATGGTGGTGATGGTGATGAATTTATATATAAAATTGAAAAGGAATTTTCAAGGATTGAAATGTTTGGCTGTTAGAGAGAGTAAATATAATATTAGGAAGGAGTAAAATCATTAATGATGACCCATTTTTCGGTAAACAAGGTATATGGTAGCTTGAAAATGTAACTTTTACATTTTGCAATATTATTTCATTTTCAAGCTAACCAACCAAAATATATTTTGCTAATAATAGATTTAATGAGTGTAAATGAAAGTGGAAAAGGGAAGAGAAGAGAAGATTTTAAAAAGTAATTGAAGGGACCATTTTAATTCAAATTAATCTTTTCCTTTTTTCTTTTGCTTATTTTTGTTTTTTGTAACATTTGAAATTTTTCTAAAATGTTAAATTTAATAATTTGAAAAATTCTTTTTTTTTATCAAATTCATTTTTTTTTTATTTCTTCAAAAAAAAAAAAAAGAAAACGAAATATTTTCTTTTTTTTTTTAAATTTAGAAAAATTTATAAATGGAAATGTATGTGAAAAATGGAAAAAAGCTTTAAATATATCTAAGGAATATTTGTGGAAAAAAAAATGAATTTTTTTTTTTTTTGTTTTTATAATTATTAATGATTTAGAGAATTAAAATTTCTAACATAAGTAAATAATTAATCCTAATAAGAGGTTAACAAGAGTACATGGAGGATTGTTCAAAGAGTAAAATTCAAAAAGTAATCTTTTGTCCTAGAAAAAAAAAAAAAAAAAAAAAAAAGATAAGATAAGCATCAAAAAAGACATTTGACAAAGTGTGAAAATCAATTCATTTATTCACTGTTAAAAAGCATATTTTACATGATAAGTAATAAAATATAAAAGTATGTAATTTTAAATCTTTAATCATATCACTGATAACATATGATATGTGAATAATTGATAGAATAAGGTGATTAAATGATAATGTTAATTAATTTTTGTATTATTTATTCCAAAAAGAGAACTAATAAGGGAATGATTAATTAATATTATTGATCAAACAAGAAGACATAACGATATTCTTTTCTAAACAAAACAAAAAAAAAAAAAGTTTTAAACACTAAAAACGGAAATGACAAGAGGAATTTAAATATAAATAAATGATTTATCAAATAGTCCTACTTTATAAATAAATGCTAATTCAATAACATTATCTATTAATATCAATTATCATTAGCCATATATAATTATCAATTATTTAATTTATGGATAAGTTTTATTGTACTATCAATTATTATTATTATTATTTACAATGACTACTTATACTATCATTTACTAATAATCTTATTCTATCATTATCATTATTATCATTTCTTATCAGTTATATCGGATATATTTTTATACCAATAATCATTTTATTATTAGCATTAAAGATTATCCTTTTTATTTGTATTGTTAATTATTACTCATGGATAATTTTTACTGTAATCATAGGTACTACTTATTGTACCATCACTCAATTACCACGAAATCTTATTGGCATTGCTAATCATGTTATTTACTAGTTTTAGTTATTCTTATTGTATCATTAATCACTAGTCATGTATAATATAACTTTTGCTAAATTACCAATCATACTCCTACTGTAACCATTATTAATCAATTACTAATCATAGATTCTGTTATTGTACCATCAATCATTTACCACAATATATCTTACTGTATCATTAATTACGTTAATCACTAGCCTTTAATCGTCATCCTTATTGTATTGTTAATCATTAGTCATAGATAATTTTTGCTCCACTCAATCTATTGTGACATTAATTATTAGCATAGGTAATATTTAAAATATACAAATAATACATATTATTTGTATTACTAACCAACTACTACTACTATTATCTATCTTAAATTGATCTATTTTTCAAATCGATGTCAAAATGAAATTGTTGATTTGAAATTTATAAAATGGAGGAAAGAAAGAAGAGAAAAAAAAAAAAAAGAAAAAAACCGGTCGTTATTTGAAGTGATAAAAATTGAAAATAGATAGATTGGCATAGGTACTAATCTATCCTCTTTTCTTCTTTTACCCTTTAACTTCTTCCTTCTTCCTCCTTCTTCTTCTTCTTCTTTCTAATATCCTTCATTTTTCTATTTCTCTCAAAAAAAAAAATTTTTTTTTTCCTCAATCTATAAACTATTAATCATTTGAAATTAATTTTATAAATTTAAAAAAAAAAAAAAAAAAACATAAACAAAAAGGTTTTTTCTTTTTTTCAAATTGTGCGAAATTGCAATGAAACAAAAGAAATGAAAAGAGGAAGAAAGAAAAGAACTAAAATTTTTTTTTAACTAAATTAAAAAAAAAAAAGAAAAAAATGAAGAAGATTTGTAAATTGACAGGTAAATGTCTCTTTTCTTGAAACCTTTACCTTCTTTCTATTCATTTAGTTACCCAACCAAAAAAAAAAAAAGAAAAAACCGGTCTATTTATCTTTTTTTTTTTGTTTTTTTCTTGATAAAAAGAAATGAAAAACCTGTCTTATCAAATATATTATTTATGATAAGTAGAAAAAAAGAACAAAAATTTTAATTTTACAATAATATATAATTTTTAAGATTGCAAAAAAAACTTTAATGGATTTTAAGTTTCATTTTTTTCTAAAAAAAAAAAAGGTCAAGATTTGTGAAATATATGATCAGATTAATTAAACAATGCTAAATAGATATAGGATAATAAAAATAAAATAACAAATTTTTAGTAATATTATTCTATTCTTCCTCCTCTCTCTCTCTCTCTCTGTCTGTCTGTCTCTTTTCCCCTCTCTCTCTCGCTCTCTCTGATTGGTTTTTTTTAAACATTTGTGACTGTTTTTTTTTCTTTATTTTTGAACATTAATTGAGTGAAAAACTTCATAATTTCAACATTTTATGATGAGATCATTGATGCTTAATAATATTTTATATTTAATTCGTAATTTAATACTTTTAAATTTTAATCTCTGATAATATTTCAAATTTATCCATTAAATTGACATAGCTAATCCTAATTTTATTAATTAAAAGTTGAATGTAATTTTTACGTCATTTAAGCTTTATACATTTATATTTATTTTCATACGTTTCTTTCAAATCTATTTTATTTGCTATTTTTTTTTTCTTTTAAATTTTGAATATTTTAATAAATAATAAAATCTTGAAATTTGTTAGTCTCATATAAATTATTCGTATTATTTATGATTATCTTTAAGAAATTAATTGAAATTCAATTTTGTCATTTATGCTATATAATTAATATTAATATTTTTTTTTTCACATTTCATATTCAGTTCTAATTGATAATAATATAATTTAATGTTAATATTAATTTTTATATTTCTATTATTATTATAATATCAATTTCTGATTGAAAATTTGATTTAAAAAAAAAAAAACAATTCAATTTCTTTTCTATAATGCATATTTTTTGTTTTTCTTTTAAATGTTTTTTCAAGAAAAAAAAAACAAAATAATTAATTAATAATAATTAAAAAGTAAAAGAAAAAATTAAAATAATTGCAATCAAAAAAAAAAAAAGATAAAAGATGAAAGAACATTTAAACTAAACTATCAATATTTGAGTATCTATTAACATATATTTATATTATATACCTTAGCAAAAGTTTATAAAATGAATACCTCTTTCTTATCACTTATCAACGAGCAAAACTTTTAACTGATAGCATAGAATTGCAAAATCATTCTTATGATTACCATCAGTTCATCGCTTTCACAATTACCAATCATATTGCTATGTCAACAACAGATAATTGTATTGAAGAAATTTCGCTTTGTTAAAGAAAAAATATATATTAGCAATATCGATTGATTGATTGTTTTCTTGTTTCTTTTCACCTGAAATTAAAAAAATTAAATTAATTAATTTAATTAATCAATTCATTCATTCATTCAACATATTTCGATATTTATTAATTGATTAAAAGTTTAATCTAATAATAATATGCATAATTTTTAACCATTGTTAATTTCAATCCAAAAAGAAAATTCCCTAATTAAAAGTTAATTAAATTTTAATTTCAAATCTAATAAATTAATAGTAAATTTTTAATTCATAAAGAAAACAAAAAATTTTTGTTTTATAAACACCTAAAAATTATTCAATAAGTGTTACATATGAAATAAATTAAATCTTTTTCAATGCTTTCAAATACGCTATAAAAACAGACAACAAGCATTTCATTTCATTTGAAAATTAACTGCTAAACATTTTTAAATTTTGTTACAAATTGAATTACCTTTAAAAAAAAAAATAAAAAAATGAAAACGAAAAAAAAAAAAACAAAGAGAGAGGAAAATATTTGCAAATTTATTAAAACTATTAAAATTTTTGTATCAAAGAAAGCAAAAAAATAAACAAATAAAATTTTTTTATTAAAAAATTTGCATTAAATGTTAGATATATTAAATATTCGATAATTTATTTATTCAAAATAATCATATCAATTGTAATCTTATCAGTTGATAGGAAAATATTTATCATAAAATATTTCTGTAAGAAAAAGTTTGACTGCTACTATGATATAATGAATTAGCTAATATTATTACCATTTTCTACTGCCAATGTTAAAGGTTAAAGGTCAATTATAAAAAAAAAAAAAAAAAAAAAACAAACGACAAAGCTAATTAGCGTATAATATCGAATTTTATTTTCAAAATTATATATTTATCATTCTTTTTCATTTTTTATATCATTCACTTTGTTTTTTTTTTTTTTTACTGATATAAAATTAATTTAAATCTCTCTCTCTCTCTCTCCCTTCCTCTCTCTCTCTCTCTCTTTGCTTT